AAGTTCCCATCCCCAAGGATGGGAAAAATTTTAAGTTAATCTATCAATTTAAATTATTTCATGGACTTTAAAAAGGTTAATTATGTTGCACTCTTGGTTTCACTCAGAGCCAAAGCTCTCAGTCACTTGTATTACTCACCATCAAAAGCAATTGTTAGCATTATGGTTATGCCAAGAGCCACCCAACAATAACACATGGTCAATCTACATTTTTATTCTTGAAGTTATGTCACATAACAAAATGTGAATGATAGTGTGATTAATTCATAACAATTTAGTGTAGAATATCCTGCTTGTGAAATGAAAATTGGCATAATCATTACTCATCAAAAGCGAATTTTGAGCTTTGCCTGTGCACAGCTTTTCAAATGGGAGACAGACACCACAGTTTGTAATTATATATATAAGATATATATATACAATAGCAATATACATTGTTATTGAAACTTTTTTTACCTTGTATCTATAATTTCTTGTTAAAGTTCAGGTTTTTTTTTCCTGCTTTGTAATTTAATCCCATTATTTTGCTGTTAGTATTAAATTATATGAGTTTCTTACACTTCTACTTGACTAGACTTTTTATAGAAGGTGTACTATGTAATTTAAGATTTGTGTGTATATTAATAATTTTAGAAGCTGGTAAGTGATAGTAAATATATAGGTATAGATTAAAGGATTTAAAAATGGCTTTATTTTAATCACTCTTTGAATAACAATGGCAAGTTATACTCTTTAAGTAAAGGTGCTGAAGAAAAACAACGTACTGCTGGAGAACTTTCAACGCAATATATTTCCAAAATAAAAATGCCATCAAGTTATACAGAGGTAAGCATTTTCTTTAAAAAACTGTTGTATATAAGCTATTTTAGTGATATTAAACTGAATTACTATAAGTAATGCACTTTTTAAACCACAATTATTTATTATTGCAAAACAGATATTTTGTTATATTTTTCAGCCACACTTATTTGGGATATCTTCACATGTTTGTTATTGTATATAAATCATAAATGTACAGATTTTGATTTTAAATATATAAACCAACCAACTAAAGATATTAAATATTTTGAACCTGGTGGTTCTTATAATATTTTTGATGTATATAACAATGAATACTCACGTAACATGTCTGTCTTTAACATAATATTATATGCTATATTTCTAATGATCTAATTTAAATGTGAGATAGAGGGGATTGTGGTTCTTAATGATGATAATCATTTCAAAAGAATGAATAAGATAGGCTTAGAAGGTTCCAAAGATGTGATGTTAAGTTTTGTTCAAGTATATTTGATGCTGGATTATAAATATGAGAGAGATGTGATGTGTGTATGGTTTTTCAAGAGAGAAAGTTGAATCAGTCAATGTGTTTTTGTGAGTATTTAGAGTAATTTAGTAGTTAAATTAAAGGTGATATTGTCAGTTTATGATATTTGCCAACAATATTGATACACAGATTTCTTTTTTAACACAAATACCTTTTAATATACACACAACAGTACAATTTACAATAACATTTATTACAAATAGTTATTACAAACAATGATTTATAAATAAAAGTTTCACAAACTTACAAACAATATAAAGTCTTCTTTCTAGTCAACTTCCTTGATATCTTATCGAAGGCTCACAATGAGCGAGTTAATTACGAGTTGATGTAAGTACAATTCACTTAAGGGGAAGCTAGCTAGCTTTGTCCTTTGCCACACGTGCTGCGTTTTCCACTGTTGAAGTTAGGTAATGTTTCCATAAAAGTATTAATGTCCGATGTGAATCCACTGAAGTTAAATGGGTTGTAAGGTCCGAAATGTATAAATGTTCCTGGTCAAATATCTGAAGCTTTCTGATTGATAAGCATCATAACAATCACAGTTATCGCTTCTGAAGTTTATAGCACACTGATTATAACAAACTAATAATAGATGCTCTCTCTGGCATGTTATATTTATAGCCGTAGGAAGGCTTTCTAGAAAATTCAGTCTTATGTAACAATACTGAGCTACATTTAAATGTTTAAGTATATACATATTATTGATTCTTACTCTTAAGAATCTTCTACAATTTTGGAGAATAGGTGGGAGTTTCGCAATACATATTTAACACCACAAGCTACGCATGTTTTAAAATATAAACTTAATCTAAACAAATGTTGACTTTCAAATAAATATATAATAAATTCATTACAAAGAATTCTATCAATATGAAATTAGATGGAGGGGGCACCCACTCACCCCCTCATGACTTTCCTTGTATCCTCCTGTATCACCGTGTCAAGTATGGTGGTGATTTGGTATAAGGAATGGATATGCACACATACTGATGTTTATTGATATAGATTAAAGAATAGATATTTTATGATAAATTTTTACACCATAATTATAAAATTATAATTTCATAAGTCAAACAGATTTATCATAGACCATTTACCAAAGCCTGTAACATATTTGAAACGTGTATCTGGATGAAATCATCCCTAGGCTTTCAGTGCTCCATAGAAAAAAGTTCAAATCATTAATCCTCCTGGCAAATATTATACTAGTACTTCACTTTTCTTCACTTTTACTGTCAGTATTCTCATTGTAATATGTGAACCAAACTACACACAGTGCACACCAGAGTTGTATGAAATTCAGTGTGAAATTGAATAACTTCTGAGATGATAACTCGCCTCTTCACACATAAGAGCTATCTTCATCGTGTGTCTCCCTACAAAATTTGAATTTGACTAGTCTTGAGCCAATTCATACCTAATTTCAGGTGTTTAACATGAACTGTGCTGTGAATGATGTCATTATATGACAAAAGCCCTCCATCACAGAAGGGCAACAATCTCTATGCATATTAACTCACCCTATGTACTTGCACTTGTGATAACTTCATTTTCTTCCTCAGCACTGAATGACAGATATGTTTAATATTTGTGCAACTTTAATTTGCTGATAATTGCACTAATTAACAAAACTTTGGACTTAGTCTTATTTGCTTCGATTTGGGATTTTGAATTCACAATTTACTGTGACTTCTACTTACTCCTATGTGAATGAAGAAATTTGACACACAAGGACCTATTTCAACTATGACATCAACAAGATTGTTAACTGATGACAAAGTGATGGCCATTGTACAATGGGTTGGGGTCTGTTATGCATGCTGGACCTTCTGTTCCCATCTGTTCTTCTGGTATCCCTTCTCCTCAAATTGAAATTGAACAAGAGGAAGACAAATTCAATTGTGTTTTCCTTCTTCATGGATTTGCTTTAGGTACCTCATCACTGGTCTAGGAAAGCCCTCAACCTTCCACTCTATTTCAAGACTTGATCTAACAAGTATGTTCAGTTCTCACTTTTTCCCATGGCTTATGACATTTTGCATTCTTTGCTTCACAACTCTAATCCCTGTGATTATTTTGTTTTTTCTCCCTCACCTGACATTAGTGTTCATGCTGACTCCTTTCTAGAATAACTTTGTACATGTAACCTTATTCCTTGCCCTCCTCATTTATCTGATTCTCTTTTCTTGGCTTATAGTCATTCTAATTTTCCCTTTCTTGATTTTTAACCTTTGGAATCTCTTTTTTTACCTGTTTGGGGAGCAGACTCCTTGTTGTCTGTTTTGCTCTTCAGTGCTCAATTTTCCTATCTTCAGCTTTTTATTACTACTTTTATTCATTACCTTTCCTCCTTGCACCTTATGTATGAGGTGATTCATTGCACTCCAGATTTATTTGCAGGGGAAATCTGTTCATGTTCCCTTCTGTTCACTATTGTGGCCTGTACCACTTTTTCTGCCTTAACCCTACTTATCTAGTTTCTCTGGTGTTGGGACTTGTTAGGGAGGGATATCCTTCTCACTCGTATACACCTACCTACTTTCTTTCTTCATGATCTTCATCTCATCACCCAGATGTCTTTGGTGGTGTTCCTGACTCTAATTTCTCATATCTCACAACCTTGCTCTTCTACTCCCATTCCTTGATTGGTTTCCTCTATCGCTCATTTTTACATTACACCTTTCAGGCTTTCCTCCTCTACCTACCTCACCTCTTCCTGCTTTCAGGCTTGCTGTATGTCTCACCAGTGGCTATCCTGTCAACTTGGGACCCATGGGTGGTCTGTCTGTTGTGGTTTGCAGACATTTTATTACAGTTTTCTGCTGACAGAAAGTCCTCCTTCAATTCCTCACCAATGGACTGTCTCTGCACTTTTTTTCTCCACCCTCTCTCTTTTCCTCCTCAAGGAGACAGTATTGCATTATTTGGACAAACAAGTCAACGAGAGGGTAATGGAGCCTAATCTCTTTGTGGTCCTGAAGAAAACCAGAGACTGGTATCTGGTAATTGACGTTTCCAAAGGTCACTTTCCAAACCAGATGGAAAATGTCGTTTCTCTCCATCAGTACTTTTTGCCTAGATTGTGTATAACCAAGGTCAATGTTTTGGATGTATTCGTTTACATTATGCTTGCCCCATCCTCCTGAACTTCATCCACCGAAATTGCATCTTCCAGTTCCGTGCCCCCTATAAATTCAACTGCTTCATGACGGTCTTTGCTCACCATTTTCACAAACTGGGTCTATGATTCCACCTTGACATGGACAGTTGGCTTCTCTTAGTCCATTCTAAGGAGGAATTCTCTCTTCACACTTTTCTTTTTTTCATCTGTGATGGCTTGTCAATATATCCAGATCCTTTCTTATACCCACCCAATAATTTGTACATCTGGGCATTTTATTCAATTCATCGCAGCCAATATCAGCCTTCTCCTTGTCAGCTGTAGAGCTATAGAGTGTCACCAAGATTCTTGCTTCTCCTTCTCATCCTATGCGAGAGGTTCTTTCTCTTCTGGGGACTTTGGCTTCCCTGGAACCACACATTGCTTTAGGTCATGCATACATGTACTTCCACCAGTGGCTGTTGCAGGACCAGTTATATATTTCACAGGATCCATTGTCTTCAAAGTTCTACCTGCTTCCTCCTCTACATGAGGAACTGTCTTGGTGGCTAGACCATTTTAACACCATCTCTGGAGTTTCCTTGTCTCCTCCCCTTAGACTGGATGCTCACTTATTCACTAATGCTTCCCTCTCAGGTTGAGGAGCATCACTAAATGACAACATGACTTCTGGTCTTTGGACACAGAGGATGAGTGCTTACATTATATCAATATGCCCAAACTACTTGCTGTCCATCAAGCAAGCAAGCTCCCATTATTTACCCTTTCTGGTGGATTGTTTGGTTGTGATCCATTCAGGGAATTCCACAGTCATTTCATACATGACCTGTTTGAAACTTTGGACCTACTTTATGTGCCCATTCTCATTGTATTTATGTGATTACCTGTCATGTTCTGGGAGCTGTTAACCTTGTTGCAGACTGCCTCTCTGAGTCTGATCTGAATGGTATCTCTAACTGCAGATTTTTTGTTGGATTTGCTCTCAGTTGAACACACCCCTTAGTGATGCCTCTGCCACCCCTTTCAACTCAAAGCATCCTCATCCTTTGGCTCAGGCTGCTGATGGTCTCAGCCAGGACTGGTCTGACTTTTTCTATATGCATATCCTCCTCTTTGTCTTGTCCCTTCGGTCCTTGCCAGTGCCTCTTTTGCTTGGTAGCCAGACCCCCCTCTTCTTCTACCCAATATCCCTTCTCTTTTGCTTCAACCTTGCACATTGCTGTTTCATCAACTGATATCATCTCCCCATCTTAATGTATGGGATTTGTCCAGTCCATTGCCTGTCAAACCGGGCTCTCTAATAATGAAGCCTTTCTTTTTGTTTCATTCCTGTGATCCTTACACTTTGTCGGTATGTCAACATAAATGGCATGTCTGTCGTCATTGTTCCATCTGCTATTACTTTCCTCCTGCCAGCCTACTATACACAATCTGTATACCATCTTTACCTGTTTATTGAACCATGGTTTGTTGGTCTTCACTATTGATGATTATTGGGCAGCATAATCCACAACATTTCACCTTTCCTGCTCTTTCATGGTGTTTTCTTTCCCTCTTCTCTCAACTTTATTCTGATCCTTCCTTCCCCACAGACCACCTTGCCCAATTTCTGTGCCTGACTGGAACCTCATTGTGGTTTTGTGTGCTCTCATACATAACCCATTCAAGATGTTGGCTTCTTGTTCTCTATATCACCTTTCTATTAAGTGTTATTTTCCTTTTCCTCACCTATGTTTGCTTTCATTCTTCTTGTACTCTTTTCCATCATATTTAAATACTCCTCTATCCACATTGGTATTTCCTTAAGACTTTTGTGGCTAAAGAAGTTGACTGTGTTTTCTCTTCTGTCTCCTTTCCTTCTATCTCTCACCTCTATGATCATTCAGAACAAATTGGCTACTATGTTATGTTTGGGTTATTTGATGTAACTTTTCACCTACTTCCCCCTTTTTGGGTCCACATCATCATCTTTTCATAACTTGGGACCCCTCTTCTTCTACTTTTTTTCTGGATGGATCCAGCAACTTCTCCGATTGGTCTATGCGTCCTTGGGTGTGGATGGTCACAAGCTATTTCATTTTTCTTCAAATCAATTTTGTCACTTTACTCATTCTCTTGCTGACCTTCAGACAGGCATATGGACCATGCCTCATATTTTTGTTGCTCTTTTTTTTTTCAGCATCTGGCTGTTTCATATGAAGAGGGTTTTCGACTTCTTACAATCACCATTTTTCATTCAACCCACCATATCTAGATGAGTAAGTACAATTTACTTTTAAGAGCCCAATTTTAATTTCATAGCTGTTGTTGCCTCCTAGGGTATACTTACCCAAAAACTGCTTTGAGCCAGAATAACTGCCTATTGTTGAGATGGTGTTTCACACGAGAGCACTTTAGGTATCCTTGTGGTATATGTATATAACATGCACACACACACATATATATATATATATATGCTGCTCCATTTATCCTAATGAATTAGCTAGTACAGCTCATCTGTCTTGTCTTATGATGTACCTGCACACCTTTAAAATTAACTTCAGGGTACAACTCTTTCAATTTGAAATTTGTCACTACCTTTGTCTTCCCAGTCTTGGTATCTATTAGAGGAAACTTACAGGCTGACATATGGATGAATCCAAATACATTTCTTCAGTTCTGTCCCTTCAGCTTTGAGATCCTGTTTGCCATGTGTGGTTATTCTTCAAGTCGGATGGAATTCATAGCAGGTGATTTTTTTTCCCTTAGTAATTGCTTATTTGTCACTTGGGGCCACTTCTGTGTTGTGCATGGTAACCCAGGTATTTCTATTCTGCCTAACACCCCTGCTAACAGTTACATGGGTGTCTGGGGTTGAGAAGTCATTTGATAAAAATAAAAAAGTCTTGTGTCTTAGGATATTCTGTGTTTATACATTGTACTATAGCCAGGATTATTTCATATTCTTAGTTTTTTCTGCTTTTTTCCATATCACTTCTGCATAATTTATATCATTCTATTAAGAGATTCTCCTAGTTGGGATTCTCACATGTTACTTAAGACCTTCTACCTTTGGCCCAAATACAATTTCCACCCTCTACACTGGTGCTACATGAGAGGGTGATGCCCTCTGGAAATGAACAAAGGATGCCATCTGGCAGTTGATGATATCTTGGGAGTATCTTTCCAACATCTGCATACACGTTCTTGCATGGCATTATAGATATAAATCTGAGGTAGGATGCCCATTCTCAGTAGATATCATATAGCTTGTTGGGAAAGATATCTGTTTTTATTTTGATTTTCTATTTAATTATAATGTTCCTATTGCACTGCCCTCAAATTGTGGAGGGACAGCTTTAGTCTTTCTTTGGTTCTCCATGAGCACTCACTAGTTTGGCCACTTATTTCACTCACTGTTCTTTTTTTCCACATGCTGTTTTCTATTGGTAACACCATAAACAATGAACATATGAGGCTAAAATAACATGCTAAGAAAAAGTAAAAAGCAAGTAAAAATTATATTACATGAAACATACATCTGTCAAATATGAGGAGATTGATAACAACATTAAGCAGCAAGACACACAGAATTGCACATTTGTAATCTAGAAGTGTTTCTACCAGAAAGGGTTTTCTACTTGTAAGAAAAAGATGTTTAGTTGAGGTAAAGATCTAGTTCATAGACAACATCAGAAAGGTTTCAACTGGATTTTTCCCTCTATATTTGGTAAAAGTGATATACATTTTAGTCAATAACATTAATATTATGACTAAGAGTTCACTGTAATGCAGTTTTATGAGAGACATTGTACACATGTATGTGGCAAAACATACTATTTTGCAAAAAATGTAAAAGATGATAAACAATGTTAAAACACAATAAATTTCTTTTAGAATAATTTTTTTCCAGTTTGTTCCTGCATGAATGTTTCCATTGTCAGTAGTTGAGTATATGTATTAGCCTGAAATAAAAACTAATCATAATACCATGGTTTTTATGTGTTTTTGGATTTATAACATGATGAGATTTTGTTGCTGTTCTCTTAAAATATGTATATTTGTACCCTCAGAATTTTTCTTAAATAATTCTAAAATCTTTGAACAATCTCTGCAAAATTTTTTTATCAAAAGTTTTACAAACAAGTACTCCATTTTCTTTGATCATCATGAAAGATTTCAACAGTTCTAATGCAACTGTTTATCCTTGGTTTCATTTTCTTTATTTCATGTTGTACCAATAAACTTGTGTTGTAATGCTTAGAAAATCAAGTTTACAGTTTTTCATTCATTTTTTTTTCATTGTGCCAAACTGTAATGAATTCTAAGCACAGTTTTTTGCTAGTTTTTTTAGTTTCTTTCGCGGGGAAAATACCTAAATTTTGGTTTTTTTTAAGTAGTAGTTATCATCTGAAAATTATTTGTTAAAAGTATTGGAGCTAATTTTATTTTAGCATTAATATAACTTTTTTTTTTAATGCATGTAGAAAATAGTTTGTGAAACTAGATATTTTTGTATATATTTTGCACAGTGCCCTATAATTAGTTCGTGATATATGAGAGTATTTTTCTTTGTATTTTATGAGACATGTATAAAGTACCTTCTTTAAGATGTAGGGTTGTTTGTAGAGTTAAGATAAATTAATGAATACACAATTTCTGTTCTCTTTTTTAGGTGATTGACAAGCTACAAACAAAATTCAAACAAGGAGTCACAAAGCCTTTAGATTATAGAACTCAACAGCTTAAAGCTTTGTATCGGTTATGTAAAGAAAATGAAGATGTATTAGTTAAAGCAATGAGAGATGATTTGAATAAGGTAAATTAAATGTAAAAACAAACATTAGAGAAACTAGATAATGATAGTAACATTAAAACATATTACACATGAGAAACAAGTGGATGAAGCCACTTCATTAATAAACTCATTTTCCAAATATGAGACCTCTTGCAAAGTTTATTATGATGCTGTTTTAGATAAAGATTATACTTAGCATCAGTCCTGACCTTGATTTTGAAATTAACAAGAAAGACATAAAGAAATAAATATTCATATCCTTAATATAAAGTAAGGTGCTTACAAATTTTTCTTGTATATGAATGCACTTACTTGAAAATGTTTTTTTCCACAAAGAAAATTATTGTGTAATTACTTTATTTTATGTGTAGAACCAAATTTATGATAAAAACATGATCTTGCATGAAACTATTACTAGAGATTTTACTTCTGACGAAGAAACCATTTATTGAAAGTTTCTTAATTTTTGGATGATTTTTTGGATTTATAGATTTTTATGATTAACAACTTAGAAATAATGTTTATTCTCGATACTTTAAAAAAATCCCAAAATTGTAGTTTAGTTTTAATGAATGTTTTAAATTATCAGAATTATTTCATCTTTATTTTACTATACAGTCAAAATTACAAGTTTTTGTTTTCTTCAATACATTTAAATTTAGAAGCAGCTTTACAAATATCTAACCAATTAGTACATAATTGAAGTGCAAGTACATAATGCTTGCTTATTTCTTTGTCTATACACATGTTCATGAGTTATTTTGAAGTATATTTTTCATATAAGTTGAATTGAGGCAAAATATTCACAAAGCATATGGAAAACAATGTATTTACATAAGTAAATGAACTAGAAATGATGTATCTATAAAACAAAGTTATATAAAATGTTGAAGGTTGTTATTAACTTCTATTTACTTACTAACGTAATGAACAGTTATTTTTCCCTGTATGTAGTTTTTTTATTCAGTGGTATATTTCGTAACTTTCTTGTAAGACATGAGAGTTCATTCAGATTTGTGTCCATGCAACTGTGTAGGAACATGATAGTTTGATATTTTTCATCAAAGCAAACTACCTACATAGATTAGAACCTCGACTTAGCTTGGTAATAAGGTTACTAAGTGAATATACTGGTCTAACAAAGAGTATGGATAGTAATAAAACAGCTCATAATGATTAGAATGCATTGATTCATCATTCGGATATCCTCGCTATTATTGATAGTTTTGGCTGTAATCCCAGAAAACTGTCACAGATTTGGACAGTTCAGAAGATGTAGTTAGTCCTAAATCTATATACTAAGTTAATGATGCAAAATAATCCTCATAAAAGTACAAAAGAGAATTATATAAATACGTAATATTAAACATTTTAACCAACATTGATGAAACGTAAAAAGTTCTGAACTTAAAGTTTTGAGACCCCCTCGAAAAGACTGTTGAATAAAACTACAAAATTAGTTTTTTGCTAGGATTTTGTGGTTATTTTTATCCTATATGGTTGGTAATGCTTTTGATTTAGAAATTACTTTATTATTCCTAAACTTGAAATTATAATTTATTTCTGAGACAGTAATGCAAAACTATTAGAAGTTTTTGTTTTTTTTTCACTTCTTATGAAGTACTGAGCATTGTTTTATTAATTCCTAAACATTTTTATGACTGATGTTAATTGTAAACATTATTATGCATACATAATATGTGGCAACTTTTCATTTTTACATAAAATATGTTCATGTTATGATTAATTTGATCTTTAGTTAGCTTAAGGTTAAATTAATTTGTTTCAAAAAAATAGATGCACATTTATTCACTTTACTTGTAAATATCCAACAATTGCTTTTTCAATAAAAATGTCTTTTTTTTAAATCTTGTTCTTTCTTTTTCCTTGTTTTTACAGCCTTACTTTGAATCTGTGATATGTGAGATTGAGTTTGTGCGAAATGATATTAGAGGGATGTTAATAAACCTAGAGAAATGGGCACAACAAGAATATGTGAGTTTTTCTTCAGTAACCTTTTGTAATAAATGTATGTAATTACATTTTTCTTATAATGTTCGTGATAGAAGATTTAAGGCCTAGTTTTCAGTGCTAAGTAGTTTTTATATTAAAGTATCAAATACACCTTTTTTAATTTGATTCAGAATGAAAATATCAATAATGTATATTTTGCTGAAGGGATTGACTACTTAAAGGCTATAAATAATTTAATTTCTTATTATGTTTTTAATATTTAAGTTATACTTTAATCCTTCAGGGCTGTTATTGTGGCATCAGAAGACTTTAATTGAAGTTAATAGCAGTTTTTTGTCTGCAAATACATATAGTGTTATATAACGTTTTCATGGCTTTAAAAATCTCATATGTATACAAGTTCTGTCTTAATTCATTTGTTACCAGCATGGGTACATTTTTTTTCGGTGGCTTATAAAAATTTATTAAAAATTAATCATTAGACTGTTCATTTACTCACCTGATAGGTATATTACTTAAAAAATCAGTATCAACTTGCATAAAGCATTTGAGCCTCATGTGTCTTTTTGAATATCTTGGTAATAGTAGGGTTTAAATGTTTATAATTTAAAAAAAACACATCTTGTACTTTTCTGGGAAGGAGACTTTTCAGTCAATTATATAGTCAGTTTCAGGGATTGAGTATACATATATGATGTCTTTAAACTGTTTCAAAAGTTGGAAATTGAACCATTTTGATATTCAAACAGATAGATAAAATAGGTTTTTTAAAAAAAGGAAGGTATATTCTTTTAAAATTATGTATGTATGTATTGTTATAATTTTTGGATTTTGTTGTTCACCGGGCCCCCTTTCTCTCTTTCTTTTTTAACATTTTCAAGAATTTAATAAAAAGAAGATCCTAAATTAGAACAGCAGCAGCCATTTTTACTTCAGAGTATAAACATAAAAACTTTAGTAAAGTAACAACAAATATCTATTAAATCTATAAAGTAACAAATACATATTAATTATTACTCAAATTGTTATTTCAGTCGTTCTTAATGTATCAAGCATCTATATGCAAAGAAAAGCCAAAAACTATGGTTTTTATCATTAAATGAAGATATAGCCTAAAGATGCTTTGCAGGCTTTACGGCATAACCAGATTTCATTCGGAGGGCCTGTTGTTGTTATTAGGTAGTTCTCAGTGGAGGCTGTTTGTGACCTGAAATTGGGATGAGTTGGAGTCTTTCATGCGGCTCGGGGGTTCAGAGTTGGCTTTTCATCTTGAACCTGAATATACTGGAGAGAATTTAAACACTGTTTTCTGCTCCTTCTTTCATTAGAGTTGCCTCTACTGTGGGCTCATCTGATCAGCTACCTTCTGCCTCTTTTCTGCAGCGAGTTTGTGAAGCTTTGGGGATTCACCCCTTGCTTTTGAGGCTACCCTGCCTTGTTGTCAGATAGATCTCTGGGGGATTACTTAGTTCTTCCTCCTTCCCCTGATATTGCTGTGTATGCTGGGATTTTTGTAATGCAATTACAAGAGAGTATTGCTATGCCTTGCTCCCCTCATTTATCAGAATCACATGCCCTGGCTTATCATCGTCTGACTGTAGTAAATTTGGACACTCAACAGTTGGATTTGTTGTTGGATCTATGGGGTTCCCTCTTACCAGATCTCCATTTTCGCAGATTCATTTAACTCTTACTACTGTATTGTGGTACTCCTCTTTGTTATTTTTGGGAGTTGCCCCTTTTTCCGCCTTACTAGTTTGCTTGAGTCCCTGAAACTTTATAAGCCCAATTTTATATAGCACGTTTGCACTTTTCTTTATTGTCATTGGCTGCTCGCCTCTTTTCTACTCCAGCAGGTAATTGTGGAGGATCGATCATTCACATCTCGGGACCCCCACCTTTGACACCTTGTTCTATTGGTTTACAGAATCGGTTCCATCCATATTCTCGGGGATCTTTGGAAGGTTGGATGGTGCCAGTGGCATTGGTGTCTACCCATTCAGAAGATCAATCCTATTCATCCAGGATTCTATTCTCATCTTTTTCTGGTGACCAAGAACACTAGAGATTGGTATCTTATCATCAATCTGTCTTGACTCAATCTCTTCCTACAGCCTCCTTGTTTCACCATGGAATCTTTTCTTCAACTTCAATTGCACTTCACACCTGACCTTTGGATGACCAAGTATGATATTACAGATGCCTACCTTCACATCCCCATAGCAGTCTTTTTGTCAATTTCTAAATTTTTTGCACAAGGACCAGATGTAACAGTTCCAAGCTCTCCCATTTGGACTTGCTTCAGCACCATATGTTTTCTGCTTAGTAGTACAGGCCTTTTAGCAGCCCCTTCATTTTCTGGGTCTGTACATACATTGCTATTTGGAAGATTGACTTCTTTTGACACCAACCTGTCACATTGCCACACTACATCCACATATCTACCTTTTCAACTTCAGAAGGGCAGACTTCATATCAGGTTGGAAAAATCCATTCTCTCACTAACTCCATATGTGGTCCATCTTGGGGTGTTTTTCAATGCATTTTGAGTCGAGCTCAACCTTCTCCCTCATATTTCCCACTAGGGAAGGGTTTGTCAGGTGTTTACTTATGTCACCTTCTCCCACAGCATGGATGGTTCTGTCTATTTTTGAGATTTTGGCTTCCCTAGAATCCCTCATACCATTGGATCAAGCCCAGTGGTCATTTCATGGCCAGTGGCTCATGCATACCGATCCTTTAGATCACACTGTCTTTTTGCTCGAACAATTTGCAGATCTCAAGTGGTGGCTAGACAGGAATAACACTAATATCAGGGTCTGGATACCATCTTACTCGTGTGGAAATCCATCTCTTCGTCGATGCTTCTCTTCATGGATTGGGTGCCTTTCTTTTGGGATATTCCAGGGAATTTGGACTGACTATGAATCTACCCTGCATATCAATGTTCTCAAATTTTTTGCAGTACTCTAGTGATGATTCCAGGTCTTCCTTTCTTGCACGACAAAATGGTCATGATTCATTCTGATTACTCCACACTGGTTTCATATCTTTCTCATCAAGGAAGTTATAATTTTTGAGGTCTTGGTTTTCGGGCTTTGGATCTTCTTTTTTGGCTCATTCCAATGACATCCATCTTTTGGCTAGTCATGTGCCAGAGGTTGTGATTTTGATAGCAGATAACCTTTCTCGACCCCATCAGATAATCCAACAGCATGGATGTTCCAGGTGGTCGTTCAATAGATTTGTTCTCAGTTCGGCTCTCCAATGATTAACACCTTTGCAACCCATTGGAATGCTAGCCTACAGTTCTGGTCTCCAATTACACATCCACAATCTCTGGTGATAGATTCTTTCACTCAAGACTGGACAGGATTCCATTTGTATGCCTTTCCTTTTATTTATCTCTTACCCAGACTCTTGTCTATGATTCATTTCACCCCATGTTGGGTTTTCTTGGCAGCACCTTTTCGGCCTGCTCAGACATGGTTTCCATTTCTTCAGTTGCTCCAGGAATGTTTACCACTGCCTCTTCATTCATCCTTGTTGAGACAACCTCAGTTCAACATTCATCACCTGGATGTTTAACGACTCCAGCTTCATGCATGAAGTTACGCAGTCCTTTGCCCAACCATAGGGGTTTAAATGCTACAGTTTCCATTTATTTGACTATATCCTCCATCAATCTACTATGGCAATCTATCGATGGAAATGGACTACATATTGTCAGTGGTGTCTTTAGTGAGCCTTCAACCCATTTCTTCCAACAGTGTCCATAGTTTCAAGTTTTTGAAATGGATTTTTGAAAGGTTTGACTTCTACCTTGCATTATATACAACATCCTTCACTGCTCCCTTTCGCTCTTCTACACATATGAAGGTTTTGACTCCTGTACTATCTCGTTTTATGATCCTTTCATATTCTTCATCCAAAATGACTGTTTCAATTGCTTAATTGGGATTTTAGAGTTGTTTTTTCATGTGTTTTTATTTTATCCCTTCAAACCTATGGACTCCTGTTCTTTGTATCACCTTTCCCTCAAGGTATATTTCTACTGTTATTAGCTTCCAGATTTATTTGCCATCTCTGTTCAACAGACTCTGTCCTTCCAACTATCTTTTGCTCTATCCAGACAGATCCTTCCTACTGAACACACTCGCTGCCAGAGAACGGAATATATTCTTTTTTCCTATTCTTTTCCCAAGCATTTCTCATCTTTACAATCTATCATACTCAGATCTTTTGTGTCCAGTCAGAGCACTTAGATGTTCTGTGGCTTGTATGAAACTGTTCAGGGGCTCTATGCACTTGTTTTTAATTAGTGGGATCCTGCAGTGTCCCTGGATTTATCACCCATTACATTAACCAGGGGACTTTGGGAGTTGATTCCTATAGCCTATTCGGTGTTATCTATTGTAGATCGGAATATACTCCACATCACTTCACATCAGATTTGGTATCTATCAATGTCACTGTCCACTCATCTAAACTGTTCTCTGGGGGATATTTTGTGGGCCGGTATGTGGACTTCTCCCAACACTTTTCTATCTCATTACTTTCATGATCTGGCAGTTTATTAATATAATTTATACAATAAGATATATTTCCTGAAAATTTTTTGTACAAATTCACAAGCTGAATTTCCTAATCACTTGATTCCTTTTTATAGTCTTTCCCCCATTTTTATTTTGTCTGTCCAACAAAAACAAATGCATAATTTCTCGGTGAAATTTCAATAAAATTAAAAAAAAAATATTTTTTGTAAATTTCATGTATATAAAATTTTCTTCTAATATTCTTTTTATCATGTCTTTCTCCTCAGCACAGTAGGATATCCAATTTTAAAAACTTGAACTTGTTTTAGAATAATTTAACTGTGTAAGGGACATACCTTCAGGTCCCAGAATTTTCTAGTGCCATTTCTATGAATTTTTTGTTTAAACTTTTTTATTAGAATTACCTGAAAAACTACTTGACATGACTTATAGAAAATATTTGCTATAAACTTGTATAGTTTTGAAGAGTATTTTAAACTAATAATCAAATGTTTAAAAAAAAATAATTGTTCAAATACTTATTAATATGAATTTGTTTTTCTTTAGACTTCAAAACACATTTTGTTGACTTTTGATTCTTCATATATTCAACGAGAACCATATGGTGTAGTTTTGATTATTGGAACTTGGAATTATCCAATTCAAATGACTCTTAGCCCTTTGGTTGGTGCTATTGCTGCAGGAAATGCCGCAGTTGTAAAACCTTCAGAAATATCACCAGCAACAGCAAGAGTGTTAGAGGAGCTTTTACCTCTCTATCTTGATAAGGTAGTTTCAATTTATTTTCGTTTTTGAACCAACAAACTAATTCATATTTACAATCTTGTTGATAAGAGGAAGAGCACCATACTTGTTTTCTTTAAAATGTTAAGTTCAGTCAGTTTAAAGTTTTTATAGAAAATGTGTAAATAACTTTATTGATTTTATAAGTGCAAAATTTGGTTTAATGTTTTGCAAAAAAATTGTATTCTCACCTAATAATATCAAAAAAGTGTCTAAATTGTCTTTACAGTCTTATTGGGAAATGTGAAGTTGAGGTCTTGAGAAATACATAAAGCATTTATACTTTTATTACTTTTACTCTGAACCAGATACAAAACTAACCATCTTGTAGTGCATTTAGGTGATAGTGCCAAACATTTGAGGCAATTTTACTATACAGAGGGTTGAGTACATTTTTAGAATGATTTTGAATATGCAAGTTAGCAATCATGTTACAACCATTTTGTGGTGTTTTGTAGGTAGTGAAAATTGACCACTTTTGGGTAGAGTTGTGTAATAGCCCTTTCAGACACAAAATATTCATTCATTCATTCAGATCATAAAGGTTTGTTGAGGTTGGGGATTTAAAATTTCCAAGATGAGAATATCCCTTGTATTTAACTTAAAATAAGACCCAAAACTTGAGTGCTTTCGATTAGTTGTCTATTTTTCTTCTTTGTTTTCCTGAAGAAGAATAGTCAACTATTCGAAAGTGCCCAAGTTTTGGGTCTTAATGTAATTTTATTACACTTTATATGTGATCCTTTGTGCTAACTCTTTTATGAACCTTGTACTTAACAACATTGGAAAAATAAAGGAATGTGAATTATCTTGGGACACCAGCAACATCCAGAAAAAGACCTACAACGAGTTGAATCCTACCTGTGGTGAGCAAAATGTAGCATCTTGTAACGGGTAAGAATACACAAACATAAAAGTCGGTGGGGAAAGCTGCCCATGTGCCCTAAGCAACAGTATGCAACATAATCAAGAAGGATCACCATCTAGAAAAGTGACTTAGGCAATTAGAGAATGAAATGGGTATTTGTGCATATTTATACAAAGACCTACTGATGAAGTCACCAGATGCAGCACCTTTGGATCTCTGTGTAAAAGGACTGTTGAAATGGGCACTAGGAAACCATCATCCTCTTACATTAAATGACTTATGACAAAGCCTTTTGCAGTATAAATTATGCTGTAGGGCTATTCTTGATATGCAGTCATCAGATAGAGCATGGTGACATGGACTGTAATGTCATGGTGAGGCTCCTAAAAAAACATTTTAATATAATGTACCCAACCTCTGTTTAATATAGTATAACTGAAACACTTAAAGAAGTAAAATTTGAAGAATAAAGATGAGTTACAATCATATGAAGTTAATCAGATATCTAACTCCCTTCTGATGGCATCATTGTTCAAGGTTGGATGTAGAATTTAAAGAAAACATATCTTAGCCAAGGGACAAAACCTACTTGTCACTCTTCAAGATCTACTTGCCCCCTTCCTGTCTCATAAAGCATACAGAAAACTAGAATATATGTTTTAGGATCTTGCTTTTATTTAAGTAGAACAGAACTTGTTCCACCATATCTCACAATGTGTCCCAGTTGCTTTAATATGCCCACAACTACATCTTTGTATCTTGTAATTCAACAGAGGAACAATTATTATGGTTTCTGTTAATGTATAACAATGTTTTTAACTTATTTTAAAGTATTTTTAATCAATGGAACATTCTTTGCCTAATTTTATTAATTGTAAAATTTAGATAATTCCAAATGTTAATTTGTGTCTTGCCAATGTCTTGTGAACTTGTCATTTAATCATAAATCTGGACTCCAAAATGAAATTAGTTTGACTACCCCGATGTACAAATTCAAAATGAGTACCAAATCAGTACATTATACATGATGTTAGGAAAACACAAAGTTCCATCTTTCAAAAGCACTCAGGTTATAGGGTATCACATTTTTGAGTTAAATCAGTGCATTGTTCAGTTAATTCTTTAGCATACCAAATTTAGTCAGCTGTTCTAAAGGATATTTTCATATCTTTGTTTCTTAGCTAATTTTCTTCATACATAATTTTTTAAGGTTCTGACATGTTGTCATATTTTAATGAAACATTGTTAACTCTGAATTTTAAGCTAGTGTTTGTTGATAGCAATAAACTAATTTATGTGTAAGTGGTTACTGTTAGTACTTTCATGTTACTACATTTTACTAGGTAATCAATTTGTTATTTGTAAGAAAATAATATATAACAGGAAAACATATTTGCTTAGTGTTCTGATTAAATTTGTGGAGATAGTTATTGTGAATTAGAATTATTTTAGCAGGCCAATTAGTTTCTCAAAATGTAAAATATGTTTCTTTTTTACAAGTACAAATGAACAACTTAGCACATCCTATTGTGTGTATCAGATGAGAAAGGGTTAATCTTTATCACTATGTCAAATGATTCACATAACATTGTGCTATAAATGTATGTTTTCACATTTACAGGACTGCTACAAAGTGATAAATGGAGGGGTGGTAGAAACTACAGAGCTTTTGAAAGAAAAATTTGACTACATTTTTTATACTGGTTGTTCATCTGTTGGTAAAATAATCAGAGATGCAGCAAATGAGCATCTTACACCCTGTACTTTAGAGCTTGGTGGAAAAAGGTATATCATTAAATTTAAAAACTAACAACAGTAAAACTGTTAAAAGTTAATATCATTATTTGATTGTAATTGTAAAATGATCAAAAAGTAATACAGTATGGGTGATTAAAATTACATTTTAAATGAAACTGTCTGATATATATTTGGTCATATTTAAGTATTGATAACTATATCAGTTGTTTCCAATTTTATTTGTTATTTACAAGGAACCTAATAAGAGAATATGAAGAACAACTATGAATTTTAAAATATGAAGATAATGGAATATTACATCCTGAAATACCTTCTCCAAGTGTTAACCAATAATATGCCTGTATTTCATAATAATTATATTGACTAATATACTATTATGATATTAGGTAGCAAAGCCTGCTAAGACATTATTCAAATCACCTCTGAAATACTGAGTTTTTCCTTGAGTTTTCACTCATGCTGCCAACAAATTATTTGACCAAAATCATCTAGGTTGATTGGTCAAGCTTAAGAAGTCTCATCTTGCACCCATCTAGGATCTTGTCTTTTTCCCTGAGTAATCACCAATTTGGCCAGTTGTGTGACTCACTAACCATTTTGCATATGAATGACAAAGAACTACTACCTCTGGAGTTGGCCCGGCATGGTCAGGTGGTTAGGATGCTTGATTGCAATCTGAGGGTTGCAGGTTTGAATCCCTGTCCAACCAAACATGTTCGCTCTTATAACGTGATGGTCAATCCCTTTATTTGTTGGTAAAAGAGTAGCCTCAGAGTTGGCAGTGGGTGGTGATGACTAGCTGCCTTCCTTCTAGTCTTTCACTGCTAAATTAGGGACAGCTAGTGCAGATAGCCCTCGTGTAGCTTTGCACAAAATTCACAACAAACCAAGCCTCTAGAGTTATATCCTTTCATAATATGTTACTGGGCTGCTCCTCCAAGAACCTTCCACTTTAGGAGAATGACATAATATTCCTCTTACCTGTTTATGCCATCACCTGTGTCCCACTGTTGGCTCCATGAATCCCACATGTAGTTGCAACTTGCAGAAACATTTCTTTGCATAAATTAAGAGATGATATGGTCAACGAGGTACCCTTCTGAGAAAAGTATCTTCTTTATGGGTGTTTTTAGACACAATCCGTTCTTTTTAAAACTCTTCTGCTCTATTCTTTCTCTCACAAATCCAATTCTGTGATCTATTTTATTGCTCTGGCTTTTACTTTGACTTTCCTTGGCTACATATTTCTGGTAGTCTAGATTATTATCTTCCTGTACTGTACTTGTATTAGGTCATCAAGAAATTAATGTCACTTTTTTTTAGGTGAAAAAACCTGAACAATTTGTATATCAAAATAAAACATTTAGTAAATGAAATTGTCTCCATTCTTATCCATGATGCTTTTCTATTTTACAATCAGATTGTTAATGCCCTGATTAAAGAAATCACTTGGCTTTGAAGCAAAAAACATGTCATGTCCTCTTTAACACATTCCACATTTGCATACGTTTTCCCTTTAAGATGGTGTTGGAGTGAAAGAAAAAGATAGTAATATGATGGTGCCATATCTGGAGAATATGGTGGGTGGGGAGAACTTCCCAACCCAACTCCATAATCTTGTGTTGTATCAAATGTGCCACATGTGGACGTGCATTGTCATGGAGAAGAAGAAGAACACCTTTCCGATTGACGAGTGAAGGGCATTTCTGATGAAGGGCTTGATTTAAATGTTCCAGTTGCTGATATAGATCTCTGCATTGACAGTTTGCTGTGGATTAAGGAGTTCAAAATGAATTACTCCTTTGATGTCCCACCAAATGCAAAGCATCACTTTCTGTGGATGGAATCCAGGTTTTTGGGGTTGGAAGCAGTTTTTGTCTAGGACTGAGCCATTGTTTTTGGCATTTAATATTTGCATAGAGAATCCATTTTTGATCACCAGTGACAATTCTGTCCAAAGATGGTTCACTCACATTATGCACCAGAAGAGTCGAAGCAACGTTCACACGTTGGAAATGATGATCATTGGAGAGTTTGTGAGGCACCCAAACACATTTTTTATGAAGTTTTCCCATATTCCTTAGATGTTTACATATTTTTACATGCAATTTCAAGGCCATTTCATGAGTGTGTTGCTTTGGGTTATACTCAACAAACATCATCAGAGCATCAATATCAATTCCAACATGTTTTTAAGGCTAAAGTCACTTGAACGAAATTTGCTGAACCATTGTTGACACTTACAAACATTCAAAACATTTCCATAAACTTCTTTGATATTCTTTGTGGCTACAGAGGCATTGTTTCCCTTCTTGTAGTCAAACAGCATTACATGCGAAATGTGTGTCTCATCGTGTGCCATCACTATAAGGGATTAGAATATACTTAAATGTACACATTATATAGGCTACACTAATGTGACGTTTAGATGGTTCGTTTAACTATTATATGTGATATATGTTTTGTTTTTTTGGGGGGTTAATGAAAGTGTTCCAGAACATGACATTAATTTCTTGACAATCTAATAGTTTTGTACTTTTCTCTTCCTTTTCATTTTCATTGGTTCCTACCTCCTTTAAACTCTGGGTATTCTGACTTTCAGTATTTCAGAGGTAAGTCTGCTTGATTTGAATTTTACATTTTTAGAATTAAAATGAATTTCAAACAGATACTTACCTCTGAAATACCACCTTCCCGCAACCAAATTTTCATTACAACTCCAATTTTGAATAAAATCTAAATCACATGGGGAAGGCAGAACCTATGTAAAAGCATTTTATGCTTTTGCAATAACTAGCACATGAAAGGTGAGAGAATTTGGGTTAGTGATGCATTGTGTGCAATCTGTAAATGGCATTCAAAATTTGAGTTGTATGAGCTCAAACAAGATGAGGAAAGGCTTTCAGTATTTCAGAGGTAAGTACCTGTTTGAAATTCACGTTATAAAATTGTAAACATTAGTCTTAAAAATGTGTATGATATAGTGTCTTAAAATTAATTAATATCCTATACAAGTTTTACGATTAAGTGTATGTTGAAAATGTATGTATTCTTTAAATGTCTCCACATCAACTTGCCTAGGATAACTTTATTTAAAAAGCATTAAAAGTGGTTATTATTAAAGTTAAATCCATAATGTATAACTTTTTACACTTCCATTACCACCATTAGCGACACAATCATCATCATCCCCATTACTTCCTTATCCTCTGCTGCCTCATTTTCACTTTAGCCTACTACTGCACGATTAGAAGCAATGAATAAATTAAACAAAAATTTCTTGAATTGAAACGTTTTTAATGAAATTAAAGTTGTAAGGTTGACAACCAGCAGCATCTTGAGTTTGTCAATAACTTTGGCTGTCACTTTTATGAGAGAAACATATGGTATTGCCTGATGTCTTTCTGATGCAATTTTAGTCTTTAAACAGTTATCATCAGAAGATCTTTTTTTTTCATGTTTATGAAAAACTGCAAGCCTAGAATTATTGCACCCTACCATTATAGCGACTTCATTGTTGCTGACTTTGAGAAATAATTTACAAATTTTATAAAACATGAAATTAATTTTTTCACCACTTCAAGCCAATTTTAATCACTCTTTCATCTTCAAAGAACTTTATATCATGCCTTCAATCATAATAGCTTTCATTTTTTACCCAGCTTCTGGTAGAGACTGAGAATTGATAGTGTTAAACTATTACTTTTAGAATCAAATGAGTGATCTTCCATTGTATCATTGTCTTTTTATTCCCCAATCACGAAACAAAATCATGCAAGTGCCATGGTCTTTTTTTCTACTAAACTAAAATGATAATGTTTTCTGTAGAAAATCTTTGACAGATTTACCACATGAATGCATATGGAGTTTTCTGTAGTGACACAAAAACAATAAGCATTTTTCACAAGTAGTATCACATAGTCTTGAAAAAAAACCCACATATAATTTAGCAACAATAAACATGGCTGCCATTTCTGGAATTTTGAGCCATTGATCATTTTATCATCCTTTTTTTAATTATTTTAGTTCTACTTTCCACCACATAGATTTTTTAAAACGTATTAAAATATTGCTGGGATACCAGGACCCTTGCTGTGTCAAGCCCTGAATATATAATGTATAATAAATTTTTCGTAAATTTATTTGTATTGTTTTACTGCCCTTTTGGATTGCAGGATCTTTTAAATTACTGGGTGAAAATAATTCAATGTCTAGTTCCACTCGACTGTCACAAATTAGTTTATTTACTCCTTTAACATGGGACTACAACAATTTGTGACAGTGTAAATGTGTTCAAATATTAAAATATATCTAACCATACTAGGATTAATGATAGCAAACATAGAACCACGTACTTCATGGAAACACTAGCTGATTCAACTGTCTATCTTGAAATGACTATGCACTTCACAACTATCACATATTTATAACGTAGCTTTGAACGTACAAGAAAAACTTGACATTAACTTAAAACTTTCAAGGTATTCTAGGCTTATTTTAACATCATTCACCCCTAACTAACATAAATTACAACACTAAAAATATATCTTACAGCACTGCCCCCTTCCTGGATTGTGAAGTCTCTGTATAATCATAATAAAACAAATATAATATATATACTACATTAGATTGTGCATTTGCCAAATCTTTTCAGTGGCTGTCTCTTCTGAGGCCCATGGCATGTGGATGGGATGGTGTCTTGTCTTCTTTTTTTTTTTTCTGGCTTTTCTGTTGCTATGGGAGCTTTTCCTGAGCAGGTAGTTAGGTGAATCCACTGGCAGCTCCAACCTTGATTATTCTCTGGAAGTAGTCTTGACAGGAACTCTGGCTCCTCAGCAGGCTTAGTTTCTGCTGACAAGTTCTTCTCTGGAGTTAACCAGTTGGCCCTTCTCTTATTGGCATACTTCCAAAGGCAATCACAGTGAATGACCTTTGACTTGGATTACCTCTCCTCTGAACACCTACTTTGTGATGAGAACTGTTCAGTCACACCATGTCACCTAATTTTATCAGCACTTACAACATAGCTACCTTTTGCTTCTTCACAAGCCAAGTTAAGTCTTTCCTGGGTAAAGTCATGTATGGCATCTTTTTTCTTCACATCCAGGAGAGCCCATCCAACCACCATTTTCTCATAATATGCTAGAGTATTTGGTTCCACTATGCCTCAGTCACTAGATAAAGAATTATTGCTATTAACTTCTGATATGAGTATTTCATTCCTTGACTACAGTCCCTGTTTCCAATGGAAGTTCAACCTCTGATGCAGTAGTTGCTATGTAATACATAGGGATTTCCTGTTCATATACTGTGAAATTAAAATGACCTTTCTTCCATGTCTCCACTTGAAGTCAGTTCCCAAAATGTAATTTTCTCAATGTAAACTACCCATACAACATGAGGCACGGAAATGTTTCCTACAGTAAAAGTAATTGCAACTTCCCTTTGCTGGAACTTTAAGTCCACCTATTGTTTGCATCATTTCATTTTTTCTTTTTGTATCTGTGGAGGCAAGTTCCCATATTTCATTAACAAATCAGAACAAACAATTGTAGCTTTCAAACCAGTGTTGGTCAGCATACTATAAGGTTTTCCATCAATAAGCCTGTAGACTCATGAGTGATTTTCTTCCATTAATGAACTGATATTCACATTTGTGGTAGATGGATTATTTCCAGCTGAATTTTGTCTCATAAATCCAACTAATTCCTGTTTTCTTGATGTCTTTTTAGCTTTATCTTATTTCTCTGAGCTGTTTGGGCTCTAGACCTTGGTTTAATAGCAGCTGTTGATTCATTACAGTCTCAACCATAATGGTCAGGTTTCCCATAACAGTTACATTTTTTGGTAGCCTTTATAAACTCTTATTCTGTATAGGCCATTGCCTACAGTTCCTCGCAATATATCTCTTCAAGTTACATTTGAAGCATCTGTTGTCGTGTTGTTTATTTCCTCTGCTATGTTTCACTAATACATTCAGTTCTATGTCATTTCCCTTTTTAACATCTTTACAAGCTTAAACACTTGTACTCTGTCACAAATTGTTGTAGGCCTACATTTTCTCACCTATCTCATATTTATAATCTAGCTTCAAATATATGAAAAAACTTGATGTCAAGTTAGAACTTTCTACGTGTTAATAGTCCTATCTTATTATCATATGCCCTCAAACTAACTTGTGAATTACAACATTAAAATATAGCTTACAGCAGTATAATTTTTTTTACTAAGTTATGTTCACTTGTAAAAAGTGATTTTTTTTCCCTCTTAATGTATGTAAAGTGTTTGTTAAATTTTCAGTCCTCTTTTCCTTGATAATGAAGTTGACATAGAAGTAGCTTGCCGAAGAATTTTATGGGGCAAATTCATTAATTCTGGACAAACCTGTGTTGCACCAGACTACATTCTTTGTACTGAAGAAAGGCAGGAAGAATTTATACAAGTAGCTAAGACAATTCTTAAAGAATTTTTTGGTGAAAATCCACATAACTCTGGTGATTTAGCAAGAATTGTCAATAAAAAACATTTTAAGTAAGTATTTAAGTGCCCCCGAACCATAGTCATTCAACATACTTAAATATAAGCATTATGAATGTTGTCTTTAGGATATGTAACTTTGAATTTTTAATGTTTTAAAAGATTTTTTTCTCAGTGAGGTTGATTTTAATTTGGTAATTCAAGTTGAATTTTGAGCTAAAACCACTTTGTTTATGCTTTGTCATTTTGATATTTCTTTTTGTTATTCAGTATATGTGTTTATATTTTTGAATAACTTCTAAAAACTGCTCTGTGATTGAATTTCATTCAAACTCAACAAATAAGATAATTAAATACTTCAAAAATGTATAGCTTAAAGAATCCTGTTTTCCAAATTTTTATCACACAGAGCCATTGGAATTTGGTCACTGTGATCTTTTGAATTTTTATCTGTGGTCACTTTTTAGGTCTTTTGTAAAATATATTACAATGAAAAGACTACAGTACATAACTTGTGTGGTTTGCTGAAATCTAGGTGCTCTAGCTTTTCCTGTGTAGATAACAGAGAAATAGTTGAAATGTTGATAAAAACTTGATACATGTTGGTGTTGAAATAGTATTAATAACACTGGCCAACGAGTCATTTTCCTCGGATATAATTATAGGTGGGCTAGATAGCTTTTGGGATGCTGATTCTAAATTTGTTTTTGGTTTTCCTCTAGTGCATCAAGTTTTCATGATGAGACCAATCAAATTTGAAAGGTTATTGCCTTAATTATAATTTAAGTTGTTGTACATTTCTTTTTTCATAAGTGCGTACTGTATAAATTTAACCAAGTGTATGGTATGTGTGTAACGTTTATGGGAATTATACTGAAAAATGAATAGTTTTAATGTTAACTAGCCTAATGTGTGTGATTATTACCTAAATTGTGCTGAAATTAACAGCAGTCATATTTGGATAACTAGATGTGCTAGAAGAAAACAGATTTGGAATCAGCACGCAAAACGGATTTAGAAAAGTGTGTTTACATCTTTGATGAGAGAAAAAGTTCGATTTTGTTTACCAGTGTAATTGATGACTTCTTTTCTAATGAGTTGATAACATGGAAATTATGTGATGAATGTTTCAGATTGTGATTGTTCACCTTGTACTTTGTATTTTCGTTTTTCCATTCTCTTGCAATTAATAAAACTTATAACATTCCATAATTATATTAAAGTTGGAGTTGTGAAATAAGTAGAAGTTACTACAAAATAGAAAGTAATAACGCCAGATTATTCAGTGATATACAAAACAAAAAAAAATAAGTATTTGCATTTATCATTTTCCAGGAACTTGAAGTAATATAAGAATAAAAATGGAGAAGGAGGTTCATTTAAATGTATATCTCACTCTGAGATTTAAATTCATTTCCATATGATCTTATTTTGTAGAAGACTACACAAACTTATGGCTAGTGGATCAGTTGCAATAGGTGGTGTTTGTGTTGAAGAAGAGCTTTACATCTCACCAACAGTTCTTATCAATGTAAAAGCTTCTGACACAGTAATGCAGGAAGAAGTAAGTGAATGAAAAGGTCGAAACATTTTGAGAGCTTACTGTATGATAGAAATCTGTTCATGTAGTGAATGTGTAGCAAAATATTTGTGAGCAACAAAAGTCTTTTTTAGTGAATTAATCTAGTATGAATGTGGAAATAGCTTCATGCATTGAAAAACTTCATGGCTTATATTTGTAAAAGTATACATTAAATTCAGAGTATCTCTGTAACTAACTTAAAATGTTTTTTTTATGCATATTTAAGAAAATCATTATAACTTTCAGTATGAGCATTGTTAACAAATGTTTTGTCG